TTTTTTTTTTTTTCATAATTTTATATTCAATAGAATGAATTAGAGTGTAAATACGAAATAAAGTATAAATTACATTTCACCCTTTAATTATCTTAATAATTAGTCATTTTTCACAAAAACGATTCAAATTTGTAGAAAGAAATGTTATTAACTGCAATTGATCATATATATATAGTTTAAAGTTATATATTAAATTCAAAAAATAATTATATGAAAATTATATGGTGGCTATATTATCATTTTATATCTGATTGTAATATCTTGTTCTTATTATCATTTCTATGCATTCTTACTTATATTGACTTTATATCTGATCAACAGAGAATTGTTTTTCATCATGAACAATGGAAATCGTTTCTTCATCAATTTTTTCTATTTCTATTTCCATTTCTATTGTCATTAGAACAAAATAACAAGAATTCAAAATCCTTTTATTTTTTTATTTTTATTTAAAACTTAGTAAATTCCAATTTTTCAGGTTTCAAGGATCCTCATCAATTTGCTCCTTCACGAAATTTTCTCGAAGTAAAGAGAAATATCGAGAGATCAAAGGTCTTTCAATTACTCCGCGATATGCCAAAAGGAGCGATACTTCATGTTCATGATACATCTCTCGTTAGCAGCAATTATACATATCACAACATCACATTTCGTGACAATTTATATGTCTGTATTGATAAAGGTGTTGTTCATTTGCGTTTTTTTCGACTACCTGACAAATCATGTAACTGGGAACTTCTGAAAAAAGTACGTGAAGATCCGGTACGTGGAGAGATGGTGAACAACATGATCAAAGCAAGAATGACGATGGAATGTAATGATCCTACAATTGCCTATTCAGATATTAATAAAGCTTGGAATAAATTCACAGATATCTTCACATTCATAAATTCTTTGCTTACGTATAAACCCGTTTACGAGGATTATTATCTTCAAGCTCTAAAAGAGTTGTACGAGGATAATGTTATGTACCTCGAATTAAGATCAACCTTACCAACTTTATACGACTTAAATGGAATCGAATACAAACCGGAAGATGTGGTTAATATTTATGAGACACTTACTCGAAGGTATTTTTTTTTTTATAGGATGTTAATTATTTCAGATTATATATTTTTAATACTCGGTGGAATACGTTAAATTTTTTAATCTGAATAAATTAGATCGATCCTCGACCGATACTTAAACATTCATTAGTAATACATACTCATTTTTGTATTCATGTTGTAAAATTTTTATAGTTTTCAAAATGAGATATTTCTAATACGTTTATTTATTAAAATTAAACTTCTCTTGATATAATTTTTATTTTATATGTGATTTAAAATTTTTAGTTTATTATATAGAATTTAAAAATATATTATATATATAGATTAATTTTTTTTAATTGATATAGATAGACTATTATATTAATAAATTTTTTTTTTTAATATTGCAATACTAATTATAATATTACATATTAATTATTCGTCGAAGAATTAATATAATATTTTGAAGTTTGTAACAATTAGAATACAAATATACAAATATATATGGATATGTTTTTTAATAAGTTTATTTTAAATTACTATATATATGAAACTTAATTGTTTAATATATAATTGTTATAATATGTTATGGCAATAATCTTGTTCTTTTATTATTAAATTTCTTGTCATTCACTTGTAATTTGTTCTACTATTGAAGATTATAATATTAACAGTATATATAATAATATCAATTTTCTATATGTAGGTTTAAAGAAGATCATCCAGACTTTGTAGGAGCCAAATTAATTTACGCTCCTGCACGATTTGTTGAGCATAAAGAGGTGGAATATTATATAAAAACTTTGAAAAAATTGAAAAAAATATATCCCAATTTCATAGCAGGATTCGATTTGGTTGGCCAGGAAGATTTAGGACATACACTTGAGTATTTCGCAGACTTGCTGAAAAATATTGGACAATATAATATTAGTTTCTTTTTTCACGCTGGTGAAACAAATTGGTTGGGTGCTTCTACTGACGAAAATCTTGTTGATGCTATCTTACTAAATACTCGACGTATTGGTCACGGGTGAGTGAAAAAAATGAAATGAAAAAAATTTTCCTATAATTTAATAAAATAATGAAATTTAATAATTTAATGAAATTTGTTGAATTGATAAATATTAAAATATCTAAATAAAATATTAAAATATTTAAATATCTTAAGTAAGTATTAAATACATATTAGATATATGATGTGATTATATAAATTTTTTATAAAATAAATTGTTTTATATAATATTATAAGTTATAAAAATCTTTTGGAATTATACTGAAGATTATTCAAGATTATTCAAGATTATTCAAGTATTGATGAAACTATTTACTTTAAAAGATTATCTTATCGTTTGTCTTATCGTTTCATACAGATTATAAAGAATAGAAATAAAGATAGAAAATCATAATTAAAATTAAAAATTATAATAGTTCTCAAATATTAATAATCAATTAATACAACTATATGAAATTTTCTTCATCATTTTTCTTTTAAATAATTTTAAATAATTTCTTATATTAGATATGCGCTGGCATCTCATCCCTTTCTTCTGGAACTTGCTAAAAAAATGGACATCGCTATCGAAATAAATCCGATCTCAAATCAAGTTTTAAAACTTGTTGATGATCTTAGAAATCATCAGGCAAAAACATTGTTTTCCAAAGGATATCCATTAGTAATATCTAACGATGATCCCGGTTTGTGGGGCTCAAGAGCTCTTAGTTATGATTTTTACGAAGCTTTTATGGCACTTATGTCAACACATGCCGATCTTAGAAGTCTCAAACAATTAGCCCGTAATTCTCTTTCTTATAGCAGTTTAAGTAATTATGAAAAAAAAGAAGCCCTGAATATTTGGGAAAAAAAATGGCATATCTTTATTAAAAATATAGCGTATAATACTTTTCATAACTATAAATGAATAAAAATGACAATTTAATTAATTATTTGCAAATAATTATGTATTTAAAATTTAAATAATACTTAATTATTTGTTTTTCTTCTTATTATTTTATCTTTTATTTATAATAGAATTGAATCATTTTGATTAATTTCTTTAATAAATATTAAATATATCTTAAAAAATTAAATATAGTTTTACTTCAAAAAATTTATAAATGAAACTTTTTGAAAGTCATACTTGTTTTTAATAATTATATTATTATATCTAATGATAGTTGAAAAATTAATTTAATCAAATGATTATATTTTTAAATAAAATTTGTAATAAATAAATTTTTTTTTATTCATTCAATTTATATTCGAAATGCATGTGTATATCAGAAAAATATATTCATATGTATATTGTGATTATTATCATACCATCAGATGTTATTACATTCACACTTTATGCTCGCGTTGAAAAAATAAAATTATCATAAAAGATACTTAATATCGATCAATGATAAATTTTGAAATATGAAACCAATTCATCGTAATTCTTTTTATTCAAAGAGACAACGTGATTTATGCTATATAACTGTTTCTGTGGATCCTTTGCACGGATACATGATTTAATTTCATTTAAAATCTCTTTTCTTCTGCTCGTGCAACCGTATAATTAAGTCGGCTGCTACATTGAAAGCCATGCGGCATAGTGTCTTTTTTTTGTTGTCCGGAAAAAAATGAATAGAATTACGCTTAATGACGCGGTATGAGTCTGCGTAGAAATTACCCAACAGTTAAAAAGGTGTGATCATATTGTATACACGACTATCGAATGCAAACATTACTTGTCGCTTCCAAAATAATCGGAAGTTGAATGGGATCAAAAGATGTGTCCTGCTAAGAAAAATATATCTATGTGTGAACATAGAACAATAATTTTTTTTTCTATAATATAATCAATAAAATTATTAAATAAAATTTTTAGATTTAAGAATAAAATATAATCAATAATTATGTGAAAATATATATCGGAATATATTATCATTATATTATTTGTAAATAAAAAAGATGTAAAGTAATTATGTAAAATCATTTTATAATTAAAAAATCATTTATTTCAGCTTATTCAAATAAGAAAAATATGACATTACACATAAATATGACTTTTTTTTTTCTTTTTTGTTTGAATTTTGTGTGTTATTTGATTTTAATATAACTAACACAAGATTCATTATTTAAATTTTATTCTAATAATTTTTTACTTGCAAAAATTAATTAAAATTTTAGTGAATAGTTAAAATTATTTGATGTAATTCTTCTTTGACGATTTAAATTGAAAACGATAACGAAAAAAATTTCCACATATTTTTTCCAAAAAAGTATAAAAAATAATAATGAATTTAATGAAATAATTTAATAATTATAATTGCACAAAATTCATATAAACTTCAAAAATAAAAATATCACGCATATTGGATTCGGAATTCTTCGCCATTTTGACAATGGTGCAGCAATGCCATCTGACGATAGAGGCAGTGAATAGCTAAAAGGGTGTAAAAATGAGACCCAAGATTGTCTTTCTATCTTCGTTCGTTTCCAATCTTCGAGCGTACTGTCGAGTGTCGAGCCGACTGTCGCGAGTGTGTGTAATGTCGACAAGAATGTTGACGTTTAATTCAGCTCGTCGGAAGCAACGAATACGCGCCGTGGTAGCCTCGTGAATAATGTCAATGGATTCCTCGTAACTTATTGCACGCAGTCGTAATAATGTTACGCACTGTGGAATTCACAGTAAACTTGTAGACTTCATGAACGAACAATCATCGTACGCGCGAGGGCTTTGGCTCGAACTGTGACGCGCCATATTGGTTTAAGAGAATTGTTCATATTAGTGAGCTTTGGGTGAATCAATTTTATTGCAAATGCACATAGTATAATAAAGTTCCAACAATGGAAGAGACTAAAATCATATATCACATTGACGACGAAGAAACTCCTTACTTAGTGAAGCTTACCATCTCACCGGAAAGGGTCACTCTTGCCGACTTCAAAAATGTCTTGAATCGACCGAATTATAAGTATTTCTTCAAATCTATGGACGATGATTTTGGGTAAGTGTCATACTGATACACATGTTTCTTGAATGTTTCATTTTTATTCTTATATAGTACAGATTAATGATTATTACCATGGCAAGACATTATCTTTCATCTTCAACTCGAGTCAATGCCCTACGATTTAAACAGTATCCGCTTCATGGGATAGAGTTACATTTTGACAATGTTCTTGTTTTGAGTTTGATTTGTGATGATTATTTTTATTTTCTTTTTTTTTTTTTGAAGTAGAAGCGAATGCAATCAAAATATTATATTTTTATATTAAATAATTTGTTATAAACAGTACTTAATTTTATATTTTTATTTTACTTTTTATATCATTTATATTATACTTATTATAGTTTTTTAATAAATCTTATAGTAAATCTTTATGAGTGGATTGAATTAGATACATGAATAGTTTTATTAAATCAAATAATTGGTATATTAACAAATTTTGTTTGCTCAATAGTGTGGTGAAAGAAGAGATTGTAGATGATGATGCCCATCTTCCGTGTTTTAATGGACGAGTTGTTTCTTGGGTAAGATTTTTAAATAAATTCTAATTGATAAATTTTATAATTTAATTTTTTTTTAAAGATTCATGTCAATCATATATAACTTAATAAAAAATAATATAATGGAAATATAATGTTAACTTTTAGAATTATCAATAAATTTTTAGAGCTAACTCTAAAAAATTAATATAAAAATATATGAAATCTAATCAATTTAGTATATTATCAAAGTAAAAAAATTATTTCAAAGATTCATATAATTTTTTATATTGACAAATCTTTTTTTCTATTAAAAATGTTTAATAAAATATGAATTATTAAAATATAAGTTTTTAATAAAAAAAATTTATTTATTTATAAATAGTTGGTTTCTGCTGAAGGCAGTAATGTGTCAGATGGTGCTTCACAATGCACAGATTCAGTAGCACATAGTGAGGCAAAACATGATCGTGTTGATCATGTGACACCTGGTCACACAAATCGTGGTCCACCTCCTTTATCACATGATGATACTTTAACTGAAACTGAAAGTATTACAAGTAGTCGACAAGGGCATCATTTACATAAAAGTTCAAGACATCATTCAGATAAATATGAGAAATATAATAAATATAATGGTATGTTATTAATTATGAATTAATCCATAATATCTAATTTTTTAAATATAACTTTTAAGATATTCTTTGATAAAAATAATAAAAATAATAAAGATAAAAGATGTTTATATTATTTTTATTTGTTTATCTCTAGGACTTCGTATAAATGGTCATTCAAAACACAGATCAGGCCATGGTTATGAGACTGCTTCTATTTTAAGTTCAGATTTAGAGACAACAACATTTTTAGAATCAGATGATGATGCCAGTAGCCGTATAACATCGACTACAGGCAGACATACCAATATGAGTAGTACAGTTGACAGAGCAACTTTAGGTAAATACATTTTAAAAAAGACAAAAATAAATCTGAGATTCAAATTAGAAAATAAATTTTATGTATTAATTTTATGTATTTGAATATTAGAGCGGCGTAGACCACAGAGAAGAAGGCGTCATAGATTGCCACCTATGTCTAGAACATCATCTTTTAGCAGTATCACAGACAGTACAATGTCCTTAAACATCATAACAGTTTCATTGAATATGGATACTGTTAATTTCCTTGGGATTAGTATTGTTGGACAAAGTAACAAAGGTGGAGATGGTGGCATTTATGTAGGTTCAATAATGAAAGGGTATGTGTTAAATTTCAATGAAATTTCGATTATATTTTATATAAAGCTCTGTATAATGAATTGTTAGAACAGAGTATTCAATAAAATATTTTTAATATGTTTCTAATATTAAATCTTTCATTTAATTAATTTCAAATGTATAGGGGTGCAGTTGCTTTAGATGGGCGAATAGAACCTGGTGATATGATCCTTCAAGTAAATGACATTAATTTTGAAAATATGTCTAATGATGAAGCAGTTAAAGTACTACGTGAAGTAGTTCAGAAACCAGGGTATGTTTATAAAAATAATATATTGAAATTTTAATAAATGAATTAAAAATGAATTATAACAGAACTATAAATATATTATAGACCAATCAAATTAGTTGTTGCAAAGTGCTGGGATCCTAATCCTAAAGGCTATTTTACAATACCACGTACAGAACCTGTACGGCCTATAGATCCTGGTGCTTGGGTAGCACATACAGCTGCTATAAGGGGGGAAGGTTTTCCTCCACGCCCGCCAAGTGCTACAACATTAACATCAACATCAAGCAGTCTTGCAAGTACACTGCCAGATACAGAACGTGAGTCAAAGACTCATTATTAAATAAATTTTAGATTTAGATTTATTAGATAAACAAATATTACATAAAAAATTAATTTTTATTAGGACCATTAGAAGAACTTCATCTTACGGTGAATACGGATATGCCAACAATAGTGCGAGCAATGGCTCGACCTGATTCAGGATTGGAAATTCGTGATCGTATGTGGCTTAAAATAATAATACCAAATGCATTTATTGGAGCAGATGTTGTGGATTGGCTTAATACTCACGTAGAAGGATTTATTGATCGACGTGATGCAAGAAAATACGCATCTCTTATGCTAAAAGCTGGTTTTATTAGGCATACAGTAAATAAGATAACATTTTCTGAGCAATGTTACTATATATTTGGTGATTTGTGTTCAGCTATGAGTAGCATGAAACTAGATTGCGATACAGTCGGACCATTGCCTCCGCCGAATGCCTGGGACATGCCTTATTCAGGAACATATGCACCTCATTCTGCAACTGGTTATAGTCCAATGCCATTTAATTTCACTAATGAACCAACTGTATATGGTTATCACCGAGAAGAAAGTGTTCATAGTGGATCAGGTGAGAAACGCAACAATGTCATAACTAATGTAATTAAAAATTCAATATTTTAAAGTAATATATTTTATTAGGCGGCAGTAGTGCAGGTAGTGAACACATTTGCAAAGAACCTATTCACGATTTGAAATCCTGTTCTTCAGCATCTGAATCTGAATTACATATTCCATCAGTGCCAACTATGCCAAATAAGAATTCTGGCAATGGAAATGGTTCAAATGGAAAGAGATCTAATGGTAGTCGCAGTCGTTCCAGTGGTTCTGAACAATCTGTGCAGACAGGAACTGGTTCAGGGAATCAACAGAACCAACAAGACTTATCTGGTAGTAGACAGTCATTTCGCATTGCGATGGGAAATCCTTGTGAATTCTTTGTTGATGTTATGTAGATGCCGGTGTTGTAAATAGATGAGTTATAAATTTAGAAAAGAAAGCAGCATATAATTGAATATTTTCGAATGAATACTTTGAAAGATTTTATTTATCAAATTAAATAAAATCTTATACTAAAAATGTTCTTAGTATAAAATGTTCTTAGTATATTCTTTCTCTTTTTCTTTTTTTTTAATGCTATTTTCATAATATATCTTCCAATACAAATCTTTTAATAAAAATTGTATATTGATGATAATATATATTTAACATCAATTTTCAAAGTATTTATTCGCTGCCCTATTCAATTTATTTTCAGGTTTATATAATTCATATTTGAGATTTTAATAATTTGTCTATATGTGTCGTCTCAATTTTGCATTCCACTTTATATTATGTATTTGACAGTTATTTCTCAAAGTTCGTCTCTATAAATATAAATTTATTAAATAATTATTAAAATATTTGCATGTAATATGTAAATGTATATACTAATGTGGTTCAAAGAAGTTGCATCAAAATGTAAAATCTAAATTCAACAAGAGTAAAGCAGGTATTTTTTATGCCATATCAATAATAAATTTTATGAATCATTTTTAGAATTTTATTTTTATTAGTTTTTGTAGCCGTTGATTATAATTCCTTTTATCTTTATTATTTAAGTAAAATTTTTCGATTTTATTTAAGTAAAATTTGAAAATCTACACATAGTAATGTACATCATAAAATTATCATAAAATACAGTTAAATTTTTATGTAAGACAAATTATACAAAGTAAATATAAAATCGTATTACTAAGTTTTGCTAAAGAAAAAAAAAAGATAAAAAATAATGAACAAGTACATTTCCAATTTTATGCATGAGATATGCAACTGCTGTGTTGAAGTTTAGCATATATATAGCAATAACGAGACTAGTACAACTATTATGTACGAGAAACTCAGTATTTAATATCGATAATTCATTATTATTATTATACATACACTATATTGCACGCTTTACTATAAATATATTATGGTGTACTTGTTGATGTAAAGCACGATCGCACATGAAGTAGAGCACAAGCATGGTCATGTAAATAACACGATTTATGTCGATGAATTTATGTAATGAACATTGCAAT